GGGGGGGGGGGGGCACCTGAAAAGGTTCTGAGAGCCTGGGATTGGGTCCTTGGTCCCTCCTCTGTGAGAGATGGCCAGTTATGTTTCTAGAAGTTAGGAAAGCCATGTGGTACGGTAAGAGGAGCTTGAAGCAGACCAGCCTCCAGGCCTTTGCCCATGTAGGACTCTGTGAGGGCTGCCCTTCCCACCTCCTCTTGGCACACTTGTTCGGATCTTCTGTGACCTAACGCAAGTGTCCCATCTTCCAGAAAGCCCTCCCCACCCCAGTGAGAAGTGACTGTTCCTCACCCACGTCCCTTGGTGCTCCTGTACCCCATGGCCCTCATCTCCATAGATACTAAGGATCCCCTGCCACTCGACAGGCAGCTCCCCAAGGCAGATACCCTTGGGATCTGCTAAGTACCTGCTCATACCTGGCATTCAGTAGGTGCACCCTAGAGTTTTGCTGAATGAAGGAGGCTTGGCTCTACCCTTGGCCCTTTTTGCTTGAGGGGCCTCAGTTCCCCCATTTGTAAAATAGATGGGAGGTTGGGCATGATGTCCGAGACCTGTGTGCATTGATAAGTTAGGCCTGGGCTGTGAGATGGGGTGGAAAAGGGCAGCTGTTGAGGCCTCCTTAGCAATAGGTGAGGAATGAAGCTCAGCCCTGAGGGCAGCTAATTCCTGTCTCTCTCCAGGGCCAGCCACAGACTCCAGTTTAATGGGGACAAACCTCCTTGGCCCCACCTGGACGAACCAGGCATGGGGAGAGATAATATCCACTTGGTATCTAACCTCCTTCCCTGCCTCCCTGACTTGCCTTTTGAGGACCTTCGCAAATTGGGCCCTGCCAGATCCTGTAGCCAAAGCATTCACCTCACTAGTCTAGGCGGAACAATCCCTCTAGGCTCTCTTGGGCTTCTTGGCTTTTGCTTATGCTATTCTGCTGTTTGTTCACTTGCCCCTGATCCTTGCCCTTCAGGGCTCCACTTAGCCAACACCTCCTCCAGGAAGCCCTCCCTGAGATGCCCTCCTCCCCTCTACCCCACCCCAGCCTGTGTCAGGGGCACTTCTGTGCTTTCACAGCTGCCTGTACTCACTCCACTGTGGTATTCCTCACCTTGGGTTTAATGGCCAGGTTCAGGGCTCCCTGTGCACCCCCATAGCCTAAACTCCATGGGAGCAGGAGTATGTCTGTCTTATCTCTTGGAGCCTGTGCCAGCAAGATGCCAGGAACAAAGGAGGTGCTCATTCACACAAGAAACTAGTTACCAGAGTCTTCTCTGTGCCAGGCACTGTCTGCCAGCTGGTTGGAAGGACTAAAGAATGAGTGTCCACTGGCCTGGGTCCAGTACTGGGAGTTGCCTTCTGTGACCCCAGGCCCTTCCCAGGCCCTTCCTGGAAGGGGCTGCCCCTGCCTGCCCACCCTGCCGTTACCTGGCCAGATGATGGCTTCCAGCAGGGTGACCCGTCTGGCCAGGAGCTCCAGCTGAGCCTGCTGCTGCAGGAAGCTCTGTAAGCTAGGAGCCTGATGGGAGATCGAGAAGAGCAGACGGTGCGAGTCCGGCCTCCGAGGGCTGGGCCGGGGAGCCAAGGGTGGGGTGTACTGGCCAGGCACCAGCCGGCTTCAAGGCAGGAGCCCGGGTGTGAGTCTCTAGGGGACAGGGCTTGCCTGGCTCCTCAAGTGACCACATGGATGACGGGTAGAGAAGTGGTGGGTGAATTCCTGAAGTGATGGTCGGGCTCTCTCAGGCCCCTAAAGGGACCCTCAGGGCATGTTAGGAGGACCAGAGGGGAAACAAACTGTCATGGGGATGCCTGAGGCCAGGAAGACCTGCTGTGAGAGCCTCTGGGGGGTTATGGGTGAGGGAGGATCAGAATTGGTGGGTAGTATATTACCCAGAGTCCCCTCGGGCCTGAGCCTGGTTCTGTCACTCACTGTCCCCTGCATTTCTGGAGTCTAGCTCGATAACCTATTGTCCCTGTGGGCCTGGAGACTGGCTCTGTTACCGACGCTTTCTGTAAAGCTGAAGCTGGATTGAAGTCTGGATCGATTACCCACAATCCTCCTGTGGGTCTGGGCTCTAACTTTGTACCTACAATCCCTTGCACTTTTGTAGTCTGGCTATATTACCCCAATCCCATGCTGGTCTGGAGTTTGGCTTCACTGCGTATAATTTCTTCCAAACTCGAAATCTGTCACCTCTGGTTTCCCCTGCCGGCCTGGAAACCACATTACCCACAATGCCTGGAGGCCCAGGTCTGACCACAGAGGTGGGGGCCCCTTCACCTGTGTAGGAGGGACCAGTCATTGAGGGGTAGGTGGTCTTAGCCTCTCCAGCCTCATGACTGGGCCCAGGCAGCTCCACCCTGGAGGGCCTGGGGAAGGCTGGTGGGCAGGGGCTGGGCTGTCTGTCCGTCTGTCTGTCTGTCTCTACTCACCATAGAGCCCAATCATTGTTTCCAAGATTAAAACCCTTTCAGCTAAAATCTTCAAAGCCTCGCGTAGTTGGTGCAACCCCTCCCCCTGCGGAGGAAAGAGACAGATGCAGCCGTGAAGGGGGCAGGGGAGGGGGCCCTGCAAAGCCTGTTGGTGGCCCATGCCCCACCCTGGTCATGCACCTGCAGCCTGCACCACCTACCACAGCCCAGGGTCCATGGACAGCCGGGACAAGACCAGGAGAGGACAGGAGGGGGACAAAGCAGGCAGAAGCAGCCCCTCAATAAATCCTGATGGATCCCAGCTAGCTGCTTTCTCCCTATACCCTTGCAAATCCTGCTGCCCTGGGGGTGAAGGGATGCCAATCCCCAGGGCAGCGGTGCGGTCCCAGAGCCTGCCATGGAACCTGTCCCCTTGGGGGTTGCCACAGAGCCCTGCCACCTATCTCTAATATTCTTTAAACTGATATACTTATTGTCCACATCCATCAGTGGGATCAGACTACTTACCCATATTCTTTCCATTCACGTCAAAATGAATATATACAAGTAAAATGAGAAAATGTTTGAGTGACAGTGCTGTTGGAAAGCTGTGTTTAAGATGCCGGCAAAGCTGAGTTTCTGGCCCTAGGTCTCTCTCCCCAGCCCTTCTCATTTTGGGCTCACCCCTCCCAGGCTCCGACTGCTCCATGCCCATATTCTGCAGGTTCTGGATCCAGGCCCTCAGCCCCACCCTCTCTTTTAAGCAGCTTCTCTATTTCCCAGGCCCAGGGATGTGGCAGCAGGCCCACAAAGCCACCCTTGTCCCAGGCCTCCCTGATCTGGGGCTCCCCACTCACAAGCAGTACCAGCTTGAGCCCAGGGCTCATGTCAGAGCCCACCAGCTGGCACTCACTTTCACTTGTTCCCAAACTGTCTGTCCTTTCCTTCCGTGGTCTTGCCCAAACTCATACTCCCTTACTCCCTTCCTAGTCCAGACTTAAGCTAGTTCTGGGATGTAGATAACAATTCCAACAGGGCACCAGGACAGCAAACAGAACTATTTCACAACTACACATTGGGGGTCTCTGTCCTTTCCCCAGTATGAAGTGAAGGGGTGATGTATACTATGCACACTGTTGTAATTACAATCCAGCCCTTTAAAGCAGCTGCTACTCCCCAAATATCTAACAACCAAGAGGCCTCCCAACATATTCATGAACCCACTGTGGTCTTGCTGTGACTGTCTGTTATGATCCAGGTGTCCCTGTCCACATCACATGGATTGAGCTTCCCTCAAGCCACTGACTGGCCATTGTAGCCTGGGGAGTCACAGGGTCACTACAGGCTGTACACCAAAGTAATCCCTCTTCACGTATTATAGGACGAGGGTCTAAAAATGGATGACCCTCCAAAATTAGGACTTCACTCCTGGCATGGACAGTGGGGCAAGCTGACATCATGAGCCTCCTGATGAGATGTAGTAAGAGGGCACCACATCCCCTGTAGGTGCCCCTGACAAGAGTATTGAACCTGTATCCCATCACCAGGAAACAATGAGACAAATCTAGATGGTGGGACATTCACAAAAAGACAAAGCTGAGAAAGAAAAAAAGGCAGGGGGCCCGTTCTAGATTAAAAGAGACTAATGCATGAATCTTGATTAGAACTTTTTTTTAAAAAAAAACAGCTATAAAAGGATTTTTGAGGACCATTGATAAAATGTGTATGTGTTATGTATTAAATGGCATCATTTCACTGAATTAATGTCAGCTTTCTTAGGTGATGTGGCTCTATGGGAGACTTGTAGTTTTCTGAGATACACACTGATTTGGTAGGGGAGATGTGGATGAAGTTTGAAACTTACTTTCAAATGGATTAGAAAAAAAAGATCTGTGAATATGTAAAGAAAGAGCAAATGTGGCAAAGTACTAATTGGTCAGTCTAGAGGAATGAGAGACTATTCATTGTACCAACATTTCTGCATATTCGAAAATTTTCAAAATAAAAGTCTTAAGGAAAAATGTAAAAAAGGATTCTGCTATTTGGATCCCTCCCTAGATGGGGGACCTGCTGTTTGCACTGATGACGCCCCCCCCCCCC